CCTGGGCTACAGAGCGAGACTCCATCTTAAAAAAATAAAAAATAAATCATTAATACTGGATCACTGATCCATTGCTGTACAGGTTGATTTGATTCCAGTGAATTTATAATCTTAAAGGCAGCTGGAATCGTGTTGGATAGCTTTTCTAGATGAAGGAGAAGATATTGGAAGTTTGTCGTATATGTTTCCCTCAGGAATCCTAAGGCAGCCATCGGGTAAGTACTCTGAAATGAGAGCCCTGTCTCACGCCGAATCTCAGCTCCCCAGTGCCGTCTCCTTAGGGGGCTGTGGAATTGCTCTTCTTGCTCATCCAGACGGTTGCCTAGAGTGGACTTAGCAAAGCCTTGCTCCCATGCCTGCATGCAGTCAAATTTTAGGAACTAGAATTTGCTTAAAATAGGTGAAATCTGGCTGGGTGCGGTGGCTCACGCCTGTAATCTCAACACTCTGGGAGGGCGAGGTGGGTGGATTACCTGAGGTCAGGAGTTCAAGACCAGCCTGGCCATGGTGAAACCCCATCTCTACTAAAAATACGAAATGCACTGTCTTGAAGGGGTTTGGAGAGTGAGGTCCTTGATTTTGGGAATAAGTCCCACCGGCTGTCTGAAACTCGTGTTCACCCTGACTGTTGAATTTCAGCAGCACATGGTCCGGACTCACTCTCGATTTGGGTGAACAATCTGGAGGACATATATTCACCTGTCATCCTTCAAAAAAGAGAATGGAATTTCCTAATTTACTTATTTTTCTAATAGTTCCCCATCTTGTTTTTCTCAATTGTTGCTAATTCTTCTGCACCGAGCTTCAGATTTCACCTTTTTTTTTTTTTGAGACAGTTTTTTGCTCTTGTTACCCAGGCTGGAGTGCAATTGTACAATCTCGGCTCACTGCAACCTCTGCCTCCCGGGTTCAAGCGATTCTCCTGCCTTGGCCTCCCACATAGCAGGGATTACAGGCGCGCACCACCACACCCAGCTAATTTTTTGTATTTTTAGTAGAGATGAGGTTTCACCATGGCCAGGCTGGTCTTGAACTCCTGACCTCAGGCGACCCACCCGCCTTGCCCTCCCAGAGCGCTGGGATTACAGGCGTAAGCCACCGCACCGGACCAGATTTCACCTATTTTAAGCAAATTTTAGTTCCTAAAGACATAATAGTTGAGAAGTTTAGAAATTTCTTGAGGATTAAACTTTACCGCCCATTGAAATGACAGGTGAAGGTTAGCCTATGAACTAAAACAGAAAACTTCAAAATGAAAATGTTTGAGGTTTATTTTGGAGCAGGACGTGGCTCAGTCCCCGCTCAGAAGCGACTGTCTTTTGTGTGAAAACGGTGATATGTAAGTCACTTTTGTGTGAAAACGGTGATATGTAAGTCACTTTGCTGCACAAAGACTACAGTGAAATTCAGAAGAAAATAATTCCAGTATCCTTTTGTGTTCCATCACCTCTGCCTCTGTGTTTGAAAGTGAGGTAGATGGCCGGGCGCGGTGGCTCACGCCTGTAGTCC